AAGGATGAAGTCTCAGTAGGCCACACTCACATCTGATTTTACACTAATGTTTGTTTGCTCAGTGCTTCTGAAAGCTTTTCAGATGAAAGACAATGCCTGGTGCTATTTACTATTTTGACTGCCACTACCAGCAGGAATTCGGCACACACTGCGTGGGAGAGGAATGGGAAGAGCTCGTCTGAAACGAGCCTACAGATGAGATCTCCATTAACAGAGGAAATATACAACTCTAGGAAGAGTTTATTAATGTTTTCCTCACCTTGGTGCCAAGCAGGATTATCTGTACAATTGGCAGCAGCTATTTCCTGCCCTCTCCCAGCTGCTGTTTGTTGTTCTGCAGTCACTGGCGGCCGAGCCCCGGCTGCCCAGCAGAGGATTCCCAGGTATGCAGCACACATCCTGCCCAGGGCAGGCACAAACGCTCAACACGAGCCTTTGTCACTTTTAAAGCAGTTCAGGTGTCATTTCCAAAGCCCAGAAACAATCTGTGCTTTTGCTACATTGACGCATCCCTGGTGCTGCGGCTCCAAGGTGCAGGGACCCCGTGGTCAGCCCACAGCCCTGCTGGTCCCAAACCGAGGTGAGGCAGCACCTCCCTCCTCTCCAGCCCCTCTGGCCACACAGCCAGGCCCAGCTGCGACTGTTCCTCTCCCAGTGCCATATCCCTGCGGGAGGATCACGGCTCCCGAAGCCAAGAGGAAGCTCACCCGCTCCATGAACACCTTTGAGCACTGGAACATCACCGCTGATGATGCTGACGATGGCCCTGAGGAGGAGCTGGACAACAGCACGGACAGCAGCGCTGCAGCCACCACCAGGATCACCCCCGTGCTCAGGACGGGCACGCGCGTGGTCGGCGGCTCGGACAGCCTGAAAGGAGAGGTGCCCTGGCAGGTACCAGCTCTGTCTGCAAACCTTCTGCAACCCCAGCAGTCGCTTTCTGAGTACAGGGTCATCTTTTAAATACCCAAAGCCTGTCTCTGAGGTTAGACTGGCAATAGTCTCCAGCCTAACAGGAGCACAGCTCCTTTCCATCCACAGCTTTATGCCACAGCAACAAAACTTGCCTGCGTGGGGCTCTCCTCTGGCAAAGGCAGGCAGAAGTCAGGGTCACAGCAGCTTTACCTGCTGGGGCACAAAGGGTTGAGTTACAGCAGCAGATTGCCCAATAGTCCATGAATGTACCACAAGTAAGCTGAAGGCTGAGGGAAGGGAGTTTTGCAAGGAGCAATGCAACTTATTTTTTAGCTCCATCAGTTTCAGCAGATCACAGAATCATCCAACAGTTTGGGTTGGAAGGGACCTTAAAGATCATCTAGTTCCAACCCCCTGCCGTGACCAGGGCCATCCTCCACTGGTCCAGGCTTACACAAACCCCAGAGTGTGATTTCCCCCTGCTCCCACAGGTTCTGCTGGTGAACAGCAAAGGCTTGGGCTTCTGCGGCGCATCCATCATCAACGAGAAGTGGGTGGTGACAGCAGCACACTGCCTGAAGCCGGGCTACACCCACAACCTCACTGCTGTGGCAGGTGAGCACCTGGGCAGGGGGGGAGGGACACAGGGCTGGCCCTGGCTGGACAAGGCATGGCACAGGACACTGTGACCACCCTGATGGGCACGAGGGGCACGAGGGGCTGCAGGGCCTGACACGGGTTCCTGCAGGGCCTGACACGGGTTCCTGCAGGGCCTGACACGGGTTCCTGCAGGGCCTGACACGGGTAGGGCACGGCTCTGGTGCCGGGGGATGCCCCAGTCACGGCGCTCCCCGCAGGTGAACACGATCTCAGGAGCGAAGAGCACACGGAGCAGCGGCGCAGGGTGGTGAGGCTGCTCCCCCACCCCACCTACAACGCCTCCATCAACGAGTACCACAACGACATCGCCCTCCTGGAGCTGGACCGGCCCCTCACCTTCAACAGCTACGTGACCCCGGTGTGCCTGGGCAGCCGCGAGTTCAGCAACGCGCTGCTCAGGCAGGGCATCGGCACGGTCAGCGGCTGGGGCAAGCTGCTCTTCCGCGGCCGCACCGCCACCACCCTGCAGGTCCTCAAGGTGCCCTTCGTTGACCGGCCCACCTGCCTCAAGAGCACCTCCACCAGCATCCTGCAGAACATGTTCTGTGCCGGCTTCCCGTCCGGGGGCAGGGACACCTGCGAGGGGGACAGCGGGGGCCCGCACACCACCGAGATCGAGGGCACCTGGTTTCTCACGGGCATCACCAGCTGGGGAGAGCAGTGTGCCCTGCCGGGCAAGTACGGCATCTACACCAGGGTCTCCAAGTACGTGAAGTGGATAAAGCAGAACACCAGGCTCCCCTGAGTAGCAGCACCGTGCTGGAGGAGGGACTGGGGAGCTGGAGAGGGCCCACAGCCATCTCTGGGGTTTTCACATAGCATCGCATTTCAATAAACATTTCTAAATGAAATAACTTTTGCTCTTGGAAGGCAAAAGTTGGGAGAATGCGACGAAAATGTGGTAATAAGGAAATAAAAAGCCCTTTGAACGATCCATGGCTGCGTTTCTGGATGCGCTGGCACTGCTCTGCTGCTGTCAGTCCCCAAATCCCGAATGCAGAGCTCGGTGGAGCAGCAGGGGAACGGCTCACACGAGACCCCAGAGCTGGCACACAGCAGCATGGGCAAGGGAAGGCCAGCAGGAGCCCACGAGGGAGGTGAACACACACCAGTGCACACACAGGGCTCCCAAACAGAGCTTTTCACATCACTCAGGCTGAGCTACAGCGTGGGCAGCAGCCCAGAGGTGGCTCCTGGCAGCCCTGCCCAGTGCTGGAAGGAAAGGGAGCCTGGGAATGGCCTGACCCCAGTGGGATGGATGCAGGGGAGGCTGGGGACACCCTGACCCCACTGGGATGGATGCAGGGGAGGCTGGCACTGGGGACACCCTGAGCCAGGGCAGGGTGGCAGCAGCTGCTCCTTCAGACTTCAGCAGGAGTGCTAAGGTGCCTTTCTCACTTTCATTGCCACAGCATCCAGCAAGAAACCAACTGGATCATCTGCCACTGCTTACCTTCAAATCAAAATGCATGTAAGGTTTTAAGTTGTTCCAAGGAAATGAAATAAAACCAACACTGTGAGCACTTTTTTTCTCTAGAATTATAGCAGATGGCTCTTTGAACAGAATTGCACATTCTCAGATGGATTTATTTAACAAGTTTTTAATCTTTAAATATAGATTTAACACATTTTTTACAGGTACATATACAATATAGTTCATTTAAACTTGCAGTCAGAGAAAATTCTCTACTGTAATTTATACATATACATGAAGAGCCTAGTTCAACAGCATACTCAGGGGAACATACCATGTGCAAAGTTTCAAATGTTAAAAACCTCAGACTGTACATTCAGATTTGCAGAACTTACCAACCTCATAAATTAATAAAAGCTTAGATTTAAAACTATGGAAGACAAAAAAGATTAAAATCATTTAATATGCAATGTGTGCTATGTTTCAGACAAATATTTACAGTTGTACCTCAAAATGTGTATTGTTACCACAGGAATTGTTACCACCATAAACAGCCCCAGCAGTAACTTAAGACACTCCTCCTTTCCCACCTAATTAGTGCAATGTGGTTGATTGGAAAGTAGATGAGAAGACCCTCCAGGGGCTGAAACCTCTGCCCTGTGAGCACCAGGGGCTGGAGGGCACCAGGAGCGTGCTGTCAGTGCAGACTCAGCTGGCCCAGCCTGGGGGTGCACAGGGGAGCCCCAAAGGGGAGACCCCGAGGGGAGGAGCAGCCACCGTGGCTGGGGAACCCCAGGAAACCACAGCCAGCCAGCAGCTCAATTCCTCCTCCCAAAAACGCTCACAAAACACACCCAGCATGTTTTAACTTAACCTGGGACTGTGTCTAAGGGCCGGTTCACAAATAAAAACCAGATCAGAAAGGTCCCCCTTTAGTCCATGGTATAAACATTTCATTTGGCTGGGGCAGAGCAAATTCACTACTGCATGCACACTACTGACCCTGCTCTCCACACACTCAGGTGCTCCTTGCACACATCTGCTCAAAAGTTCAAACCACCTGTACCTACCTATGTTCTACAAAAGCAAAACTTGACAAAAAACACAAATTGAAATTAGGAGTCTTCAACATTCTTTTTCCTTTCTCAAAAATTCTATAGATACATTATTGTTAAAGATGCTGAAAAAGTCTTATCACAAGAACATCCTTAGTGCAAACATGAACATTTAGCTTGGATTTATGGCACGTGTTCCAAAAGTACATATTAATGTAAACTTCAACACTTGCTAGATACAGGTTTCAGCCCTGGGATGCTTTGGGACCCAAAGTGATTGGTGACAACCCTGAGTTGTCTATTTGACCTGACCCAGACCTCACTGAAATCAAGGAGGCTGACTGCAGTGGGCTGGAGTCAGGCCCTAAGTGCAAAAAGAGGATCTTTAGTGTTATTGCATCCTCACGTGTGAGTCAGCCACATGATGCTCTTACAGAACATTACATTCACATAGCTGAAGCAGATATTTAAGAAAAATCCACCCATAAAATCAATTCAGCAGGACATACAACTTCTTTGTTTGGTTTTTTTTTTTTCTTTTTGGTTTATCAAAACACAACTCTTATTTGCAACTTCAACAGTTGTCAGCTAATAAGTAGGCAAAACCTACTTCAACCTGTAGAGGAAATTTCAAGCATCTAAACAAAGTGTCAGGAAACTGTAGCGTACTTCTCTGATGAAACATGATGTATGTCATGGAAAAACAGCAGGAAAAATGAATAAAATCCCATAATTTCCACAGGCGAAAAAAAACAAAGAGCAGAGAATGGCTTCCTTTATGAGCATGAGAAGCTGCTTAGGACCCCGGTCCCACTCAGTGCAGATGGAGCTGTGGAGGTCTGTGAATGTGATGAATTGTACAGGACAACTCCAACTACTGTGCTATTTCTCTGTAACACTTAGTTGAAAGCTTCCAAAGAGCATCGAAAATAGGATGCTACTAGTTCACCCTTAAGTCAAGGGGAACTAAACTTTCTCGTGTTACACAGGGCAGCATCTATAAAGTAATGGAGAATGGTGTTAATATTAAAGCATCTTATTCCAAGAAAGACATTGTTCCCTGTAATCAAGTAACATTTGTATAACAGAAAAAAAATAAATGCACTCCTGCATTTCTCCCTAAAAGCTGAACTCCCACTGGCTTCAGTGAGAGCCTTGACTACGGCAGGACCACAGGGTTTGACTCATTTCCATCATCTATCACTTCATTATCACAGCAAGGCCAGCCGATATCTTCTCTAGGCTCCTTATTTTGTCAGGCTGGAAATGGTTTCTGGCGATCCTAAAGAGCTGTTCTGTGAAGCTGGCTGGCACAGCAGCTCGGAGGAGGAGACCCTGCTTTATGTTTCAAAGGCCAAAAAGAAATCAGCATTGCCACGAAGGGACCCTGTACAGACACCAAAGCCTGTGGCTGCAGTCATTAACGTGCCAGAGGGACAGAGCTGTGCTGCAGCTGCAAACTGCCAGGGGCATTTCAGCCACACCCTGACAAAGCCTGCACGGTTCAGCCAGCATGCTCACAGCAGCCTGCAAAAGCCACCCAAAATACCCTGATCAGGAGCTGGGAGCCACAGGAGGGGACAGTCCCAGAGGGGACACAGGACAGTCCCCAGTGCCCTGGCCAGAGGGGACACAGGACATGCAAGCTCAGTCCTTCAGGCAGTGTGAGTGGGGGGAAACCTTTGCTCAGCTTTATCAGGCATGGAGAGCAGGCACAGGGAATCCCCCTAAGGCTTGGAAGAGAGAATTTGGCAAGTGGGATGTTAAAGAAACTAGGAGAGAGTCTGGCAAGTAAAACAGGAGCCTGTGCCCACCTTGGGTAGGAAAAGACTCCAAAAATAACCTGGTTCCAAGCCCTGCCATGGGTGCTGCAGGGCAGCTGAGGGCCGAGATGCCCTTCTCTGCACTGCCACAGAGCTGCCAGGGCTGCCAAGCGTGATCCCTGGCACACTGGCCACCCAGGGACGTGCAGAACTGTTTTGTCTCCTGCTCCAGTGCAGAGGAGGAGCTGGGATTGTAATGCTGGAGCCCCAACCATCCCTGAAATGAAGAGATAATCCTGCATCTCCGTGTTAACTCATGGAAAAGCCAAGTCAGTTAACCAGGCAATGCCTGACCACTTGCAAGGCAGCTGAAACTACCCACACAGGGGTGAGCCTCAGCAGTAGTTACATTCTGAGTATTGCTCTTTCTCAGCACAGCTCTCTCCAAATATTTTTCATTTTGAGCTCTGCATGTTACCACCTGCAATACAAAACTGTTCCTTCGCCATGCACATTAAAAAAACCCACCGCGGGTTTGCACAGCAGACAGAATAAATGTGTTTGGAAGAAAGCAGCAAGGACTAATCTCAGACCTTACAGCTAGAGGCACATCAGAAGGAAAACCCATTTTCAAAATGATCTCCAAGCCAGCCACCTTTCTCCCAGAGAACCTCATGGCTTCCATCCAGGCCAAGATTTACAAGAGGAGTGTGGATTTGCAAAGCTGAAACGGCTGGGGAGTGAAGCATTTACCAAATACCCCTCTGCTAACTTAAAATCGACAGCAAAATGTTCCCTGTAACTTCATTATGATTTGTATTGGCTCAACACATATAATAACAATAATTATTTATTATATTTATGGACTAATTAGCAGGAGGAGAGAGGAACAGCTTGTAGGCATGCAGGTAGCAGCCATCCTGTGGTGGGCCACAGTATAAATCTAAGGAGAAATGTGAAGGTAAGAGAACCATTTATTCTATTCAGCTAAAGGCTTTGCCCTGAAAAACATCCCAAACCCCAGATTTGTATGAATTCTGCTATGGAATTCTGTGGCTGGACATGGAGTTTTAATTAGGGGAACCTGGAGCTGAGCAATAAGAGAGGCACTGCTCCCACAAAATGCCAGAACTGCCTCTCCCCCAGCACTGAAGTGACTCCAACACTCCCCAAGCCCTTGGGGATCCCACAGATCAGTCGGCTTTACACTGCCAACATGCAAAGCAGCGTTTCAGCACAAGCAGCTCATGATCCCTGAGGGCTCTGACGCTGCCTCCTGCCCCTACTTCACGAGCTTGGCTGCCTGATTCTCCCTCTGCTATTCTGGAGCAAGAGCTCCATCTTCTGAAGCAGCAGGAAGGAACCCAGTCCAGACCATTGCCAAGGTCTCGGTGTCACCTGCAGGGGAAGTGACCAGCCCCCAGGGCAAAGGGCAGTGCTCACTGCACAAGAACTGTATGAAAATCAGTTTACAGAGTGCAAGCTGCTTCTGGCTGTAAGGACACATTGCTGAAAAGCTCTAGGAATAGCTCTAGGAAACAGCAAGAGAACATCCTACATCAGCCCCCAGTATTTCCTGGGGTGTGTGCAAGATTGAAACCATGCCTCTGGCCTGCAGGCATGAGCAGAAACAGCAAGAGAGACCAGTTACCTTCACAGGGAAAACAGGCTCAGTGTGCTCAGCCCTGGGACACGGCTCTGGAGTGCCTGGGCACTGCTGTGGCACTCACAGGAGGCATTCTCTGTGGTTTCTCCCCGTGCAATTCCCCTCAGCCTCTACCCAGCAACTTTATAAACCAGTCTAGAGCTGACAGTCTATAGGTTTTTGGGGATCTGACCACTGACAATGCAAACCAGGGCTCAAAGTTTCCCAGCACCTTTTTTCCCAGCTGGAAAACCCTTCTGCACAGGACCTGGTGAGATGGGGTAGCTATACACAGAGAGAAGATCAAGGTTGCCATTACTGCAGCTGGAAACGGGGTGCCAGTAAACTCTGAACATTGGTTAGCAAACTACCCCTTACAGAAAGTCAGCAAACCTTCAACCTGTGAAATTCAACTGCCCTGCAACAAAGGGGATAAAAAATACCTTCCTGTATGGGAAGGATTTCACTGAAAATATACAAAAACCCATTGTGAGCTGACTGGAATTTTAAGCCTTTCAGATGGCTTCCTTCACGTTCATCAAAATAACACCTTCTGACAGAAAAGAAGTATTTAAAGAGAAATCTCCTTGCAAAATTTGCTTCATACAGTCATAACTACTATTTTTTATTTTTTTTAATGGGCTAAGTCTATGTGGGCTTCCTGAGCTGTTCCATCTCCAACCCTGGTCTCCCATCTGCAGAGGACAGCATGGTGATGAGGCAACAGTGGTTGTGGTGATGCTGTGGCAAGGGCAACAGGCTGCTCTTAAGGCATTTTCTTGTGTCATCTCTTATGCTTCCCTATCTATTTCTATGTACAGGTACAGCTAGAAAATGAGAAACATGGATTTGGAGCCTCTAAGCCTTTGGCTGAAACCTGGAAACCTGTTTGTTATAAACTTTATCTAAGGATGGATTAACCAGCAGGCAGCAGTGAGGGCAGGAGTGAGGCAGCAAGGAGGAAGTATTGCCTTTAGTGCTGGGGTCAGGCCACGATGTCTTTTGCAGCAGGAGGGGATTTTGCTTAGGTACCTCCTGTTCACACGGGGTTTGAGCTACAGCAGTGAGGAGGTAAAACAGTCACGGGGATCCCTGGTCAGACTCCATCTCTTCTCCCCGGTCTTCTACCCAGTGCTCTTGCAATGAAATCTATGTTTTTAAATGCTTGGTTTTAATTTACTAGTGCCTAAAGTCTCAGAAACGTCTTAGAGTGTAAAAAAAAGAAACAAACAAAAAGCTTAATTTACTACTTGTGCAGGCTTTTTGGAATAGCTGCTTGCTTTTCTATTTTTCCAGCAGAGGCAGATGCAGCCAGATTTAGTACATCAAGTGTAATGCCAATGGCTTAAAAGACCTGATTTGAGATATGAAATATTTCTGCTAGGCGTGCTATCAAATACCTGCAACTTTGGCATTCCGAAATCTGCAGTCACCGACTACTATCTGCAGACTGTGGACAGGAATCCAGCCTTCTTTTCTTCTGTTTAGGTTTTTCACCAACCTTGGAATGACAACAGCATTAGGAACAGAAGCCAACCAAGCCAGAAGCAGTTTGGTGAGGGCACATTCTACACAGCTGGGGGTGCAAGCAACAATTTGTTCAAACCAGCGAAGCATTTTAACAGGACCTGGCCATACATTTAAAGTATTCTTCCCACCTAAATTTAGGAACCTAATTAAAAACCTACACCTCTTTGGACAATGAAGAACAGGACTCCCTGTCAAGTCATTCTGCCTGAGACCTCCAGAGATGCCAGCTGAGGAAAACTGGCTACTGAAGGAGTCAAGGGCAATTATTCTTCTCACTCCTCTGCTCTTGAGTCTGGTGGGATGATTTCAGTCAGGAAACTATAAGCAAATTCAAACCAAGATTTAGGCAGCTGGAAATACTCATGCTCATACTCATGACAACCCTCTGTCTCATTCATGTAGTGAAATTTGTGCTAACAAAAAAGCTTGGTGTGAGAAATCTTTGACTGGCACTGGCTGAAGCCCCCAGGAGAGGTGAACTTGCAGCAAACCCGAGATGCTTTGCATCTGCTTTTGCTAACAACAAACTGAATTTTTCAAAATGCTGTGGGACCAGATGGTCCTTGCAGATCCCTTGCAATTGAAATATTCTATTTTATCCTAGTCTGATTTCCCTTGAAGTGCAAGGGCTGTAGCTGTCAGCCAGGAATCCTGCACAGGGCATTGACAATCTGTGCATTCACAGGCTCCTGCTAACACCACCCTTCCCACACCCCAGACGGGACTTTAGCACACTGGGCTCCCTCCTACCCCAGCTGGCTGATGAGAGCTGCTCAGAACCATCCTGGAAAGAGCCAGAAACCTCAGCCAACTTGCTGTAAATCTGAGGGCCATGCTGCCCCTCCAGACAAGGACTCTGCTGGTCCAAGGGGCAGCAGCCTCAGGGGTGTTCCCAGGGGATGCTCCCAGCCACCAGCAGAGCAGCAGCTCTGAGGAGTTCTCTTGTTGTGTTCACACACAACAGAGTCTGCAGCCACCCCAGGAAACACTCCTACAGCTGGCTAAGGGAGGAAAATGCCTGGTAATTACTCCCTGTGGCTGTTAATAAGCCCAGAGGAACAAAGGCTGGAGCTGAGCAGGGCAAAGGGAAGCACCATCTGAAGTGGGAAGAGCATGGCAAGAGGGGCTGTGAAGGTGTTGGTAAAACGCAGCTCACGCAGGGACCCGTGACAAGGGAAGCCCTGACTTGTTTCTCCAGGCCAAACCAGTGTGGATGGCACCTAATCTTGGCAAGAGAATGAATTCTCCAGCTTTCTGGAATGATCTGAAGCTCAGAGCATGGAGTGTATGACCAGGCAAGGGACATTTCAAGGGACTGCCCTGCAAGCCTTACAGATAAGGCAAAGTAATCCAAAAATACCTACCACTGTCCCTCACCATCTTCATGCAAGAGCTGAATTTCATCCCCGTTTTTCACCAGCAGGTCCTCTGATCCTCTCCTCTTGCAGTCTGCAAGGGCTTTGTATTTTCCTGGAGACTGTGGTAGAGAGAAAAACTTAACTTATTTAGCTGCATTTCATATCATGCAGCTGTGATTTCTGACTGCTGCAGGGAAGGTAACAGAGCCCTATCAGCTACCTTAATTAAAATTATTTCAAGAAACTGTGGCTGGGACACCTTCTCATTCCCCAAACTGAGATATGGAAATTCTGAGAGACTCAGACAAGACACAGCCATGATCCAGTAAGGAGAACACGGCAGGGTGAGACCCCCCAGGCTCTGAGGTTATCCCAGCTGCACCCACCAGCTGGTTCCCGTCCTCCTCCTCAGTGTCCGAGCAGTTGGAGAGGTACTGGTGGCCCGACCACTCCTCCAGCCCCTCGCAGATTTCCAGCGACTGGGACATTCCTGGCCAGCCTGCAAGACAGCGTGGGGCTCAGCCTGGAGCCCAGAGGCACAGGAGGGCCCCAGAGGGAGGGAAGGGGCCATACTTCTGTGGGGCTTGTTCTGGGGGGACACCAGCCCACTGTCCAGCATCACCGGGCTGGTGCGCTCCGAGTCGTTCTCTTCGGAGCTGATGGAGGCTCTCTGCTGCTTCCTGAACAGGAACAAAAATAACAAAAAAATCTTGGCTTTACTTCACACAAACTCCCTAAGGTTTTGTTAAATAGGGTCAGAAATAATACTGGCACCTCTTACTGCATGTTTCTGGGAAGAGTAAGGACTTAGTGCCCGGTTCTCAATCTTTTTGGGAGAGGGAAGGGAGCTGCTGCAGTGTCTCTCCCCTGAGTTAGAGCCCTGGCTTTGCTCTGTCTCTGTCTGCAGAGGAGCTGCAGCTCAGCTGGAGCTGCCAGGCTCCAGGGTGCCCCTCGCAGCCCCTGTCCCCAGCAGCACAGCCCCGCTGTCCCCTGCCCAGGGATGGCACTGGGTGCCACCCCAGCCTGGCACTCACCTGTCACCCAGCTGCGAGGACAGCGGGAGCTCCGAGCACGAGCCAGGCTGCTGCTTCTCCACTGCTGCCAGGGCAAGCACAGAGAAAACACACTTCTTTAATAGCAACTCTCACACTTGAAGCATTACTTTGAAAATTAGACCTTTTGTACAACCCTACTGATTTCTGTTCAGAGAAAAACAGACCTGTGGACTCCTGCAAAGGACAGGCTTAGTTATGATTAAGGAGGCATGTTAGCACAAATCCAACACTGAGCATGCTACTGAGGATCATAATATGCTTAAAATTAGGCATCTGTTATGTATCTTGTTGAATTAAACCTATGATAACAAATGTGAAATAATCCCCAAGGTAATGACAACCAGAAAAACGTACTTCTGTGATCTATTTTCACATGAGCACCCTGTTTTTACTGCTCCAAGTTATGTTATTTCCCTGCAATGTAAGGCCTCACTCCAGATTTTTGCTACCAGGCTCCTAAAAATCAATTTTCCAGTGAGAATTAGTGGACTTGAGGATCAGCAATGTGACAATAAGAAAGCTTCTGCTTCAGAGTCAGTCACAGAAAAATTGATCAAATGTACCTTTTATAAGCTCTTGCTGCTTGAACAAAATTTTTCTTATTTCATTCAACCATGCCATTTTCAGATCTACTGTTTGGGCCTGGAAGAAGAGAAAATTGTCTGAATTTTGAATTAAGAGTCATCCATTATAATGTAGGAATAAAATCTTACTTTTCTATGCCGTAATTATCTGAAATCCTCTTTTTTTTCCCAAAGCTACTACTAAATTTTAAACAGTCTTGATCTTTTAAAATTGATGATTCCCATCACATCCAGACAAGGCAGAGTGGAAATTGTAGAGCTATCACTACAACCATAAAGATCAGTGAGACATTTTCTTCCTTCTGCTCTGAGGATGTGCAAATCCCCAGATTTCTGAAGCTACAAACCTGCACCACATACACCTCTTCTCGCCCGCTGTACCAGATCTCAAACTTCCGATGATCTCCTTTCACATTCTCAGTTATCCCAACTGCATTCATCTGCAAATCCAAACAAAAAATTAAACAGAACACAAAGCTCCCTCTTCCCCAGGAATCCAGACTCTTGACAGCAAGTTAAACCTGTTTTCACTGACTTTAACATGTTTCAACAATTTTAATTTAAGTAGCAACTGAAAGTCATTATCTGTCTCATCCCTCCTGACCTTCTATCAGCTGCATTTTGGATAAGCTTTCCAAAACAAATCAATGGACCTTTGGGAAGTTTTCATTTGGGAATCAGTGGAACTAACTGAAGCATCATCTCAGCTGCCTCTTTCAGCACAGAATTTCTCAGATTTGGCACATGAAGATTTATAAATACATGACACGTTATTTGTCCACATACATTATTTCTGCCATGTTATTCTTTACTCACTCACTGAATTCTTTGTTTCCCTTTGCCAGTGATCTTTCAAACCCATTTGTGAAGCCCTTAGCTCCTTCAGGAGTTTGAGTTCAATGCCTTTTGGCCCCTGACCATCCCTGCAGTGGTGACAGCACCCTAGGAAGAATGAGCCCTTCTTTCCAAAAGAAGGGTTAATTTTTGGGGTACAGCCTGAGCTGCCCCAAGCCTGGTCTCCAGGACACGTGCAGGCTTGAAGTTGAATTGTGCTTTACTCATTACCAGCAACTACTTTTGATAGTTTGTATGAAAACACCAAAGGCCCAAATCCTTCAGGATCTGCACAATGTGACCCACCTGAACCAAGCTTAAACCATGATTAGAGACAAGAAACCTTCAGCAACAGGAGACCTCTGACCTCCCTCCTGGTGAGGCCATGAAGACTGCTGTGATACCTGATACCACATGAACCATCCTCTCCCTTAAAGCAGGGTTTGCTGGCAATTATTCACTGATTAAAGGATAGTCAAAAATAGCTCAGGTATCTCACTTGCATGTTTTGGAACAGATGTAATAATAAAGGTATCATCTATCATAAATTATTCACGCAGACTGGATTAGACAAATCCACTATAAACACAAACAAAACCTTAGAAATAACATCTGCTCAACACTGCTGTTCCTCCTTGATAATATGTGTGTGCCCAGAGCTTTTGTTCTGAAAGACTTTGATGATTTACAGAGTAGGTACCATGGACAAATGTTCTATTCCAACTGCTTCACATGCTGGTGCCCCTTTGCAGGGACATGAACAGCCTCAGGGAGCAGCAGCCAAGCTGATCTTGACACCACAGAAACATTTAGGCTGGAAAAGACCCGAGACCAACGATTCCCTCAGCCCTGCCGAGGCCAACACGAACCCCTGTCCCCAAGTGCCACATCCACGTGCCTTTAAATCCCTCCAGGGATGGGGACCCCCTGTCCTGGGCAGCTGTGCCAGTGCCTGGCCACACCTCATAGCCAACTCAACCCCCCTGGGAAAACTTGAGGCCATTTCCCCTTCAGAAAGCTGGATGAGGCTCTGTTTTAATTTTATAAGAACTTAAAATTGATGAAAGCTCTTGGAAGGGCAGCTTAGAGAGCACCTCATCCCAGCACTGCAATTCCCAGCTCTGTGCCTCTTGTTTACCGTGGCAATTTATAGAGGCTCCCACAAAACTGCCCAGGCTTCAAGATATTAGAAATTGTAGATGATCTACTAAGGTGATGCAAAGAACAAGTGCCAGGAAGAGACAGATTTAAGATCTGTTCATTCAGGTCAGTGGATTTTAAAATTCCATTTCCTCTCCCTGCCCAGAATTTACTGTCAGCTGCTGGATCACTGCAGTGCAGCCAAAGCTGGGTTAGTGCAAAGCTCTGGGATGGTGCTCACCTGCATCAGCTTCCACCTGGCACCAGGCAGATCTACCTGGCATCCTCTGGGTCACTGACTCTCAGCTGTGCTTGTTTCACTCAGGATGCAGAATACCATCCTGAGGGTTTCTTTTGTTTGTTTTATGGATGATCTGTTACACAGCATCTACCCAACAGCTCATTTCAATCCTGAATCCCCAAAAAATATTGCTGCAAAGAAAAATAATTTCCTGATATTTAGGGACGTGGTTTAGTGGTGGATTTGGCAGTGCTGGTTTAACAGCTGGACTCAGTGATCTCAGAGGTCTTTTCCACTATCAGTGTCTGTGATTACAAATCAAATAAATGTCAAGCTCCAGAAACAGGGTTTTGCCCTCAGTACAGCAATTCTCAAAACATACGTGAGCAGATGTAATCCTGTCACATCCACAGATTCTCTAAGTCCACCCTCTGTGTCAAACCAAACAACTGGAAAATGAGTCCTCTCGAGGCAAAGGAAACCTGTGGACACATTGTCTGGACTCCTGAGCCTGGGATTTTCTCCCCTGAGCTGCACTTGCCCCCGGCACCTCTTCAGTCCTTTCGAAAGCATGCATGGTAAAACAAGCACTGCAGGGGAAACAAGCTCTCCAGAAAGAAAATGATGCTTCTTGGGGAAAACACTGGGTACCAAAGCATATGGCCTGAGACTTGCTTTTATTACATCATTTGTAACATGCACCAGAGCTGAACAGACTTCTCTGCTGTTACCCTGTTTTCTGACAACTTCTGGCAAATCCCTCCCCAGACCCCACTGAGAGCAGGGACCTGCAGCAGGGATCTGCTCTGCCTGCAGGTTCTCAGTTTTCCCAATCTAAAATATACCCCTATGGACTTCCATTTTTCAAGAAAAACAAAGCAGAGCACTGAGGAGAAAATGCTGATATTAGAACTGCTCATCACATGCAGTGTGCCAGGTGGCCTCTTTTAGAGCAGCACTTTGGGAATCTTATTGATAATAGCATTTATAGGGTTGGGACAGTTGTTTACATCCCTCACATTTTGCCATAGGCTACCCTTGTCATCTGATAATTGTCCTTTCAGCTGCAGTTGGAGCCTGCCAAAGGAGAAGGGAATGGGGAGGAAGAGGAGTTAATCCTGCATCCTCCTGGGGTGGGAAACAGGGCTCAGGAGAACAGAGCCTGCCCTAGGGGCCTCCCTGGGCCAGGAGGAGCCCCCTGCTCTCCCAGGTGGGCTGGGGAAGACACAGTGCCCTTCCACAGCCTCAGGCACTCCTGGAACGGACTGGAGCAGGAGACCAGCACATCTGTGCCCCTGGCACAGTCACAGCCCTGACTCCCAGTCCAGGGGCTCTCCCAGCTGCTGTCTCAGCTCTGGGGGTCCTCAGAGTTCACTCAACCAACAGCCTTCCATGGATATGGTCAGAGTTCACTCAACCAACAGCCTTCCATGGATATGGTCAGAGTTCATTCAACCAACAGCCTTCCATGGATATGGCACACCCCTGCGAGGCATCACAGCCCTCAGCAGCAGCAGACGAGCCACCAAGTCAGAGAAAAAACCCCCTCTGGCTCTGCAGTTCCTGCTCTGCAATGTACATGGCTGTGTAGAACATCCTTACTTCCATAAATAAAAATATAAACTCCTTACTTTCAGAAAGTGCTTAAAGCTGTAAGATGAGGTTTTGTCATATCCATCTCCGTGCTCCTCTCGCTTCTTGCAGAAGACCAAGGCTTTCTCATACAGAAACAGGTGCCTCTGCATGGGCTTGAACCTGGCCAGATCCTTCATTTTTGTTGGCCCTTTTCGGTGTCCTGTCCAAACACTGAAAGATCCCTGCATCAATACCTTCCCCAGTTCGCTCAGGTCACCCTGGGGACAGCGTGACAAACAAAAAAGGAAGAAAGACGTCAATTAAGATGTAAGAGGACTCTGCAAACAATGATGGGACACAGGGGACTCTGTTCCAAGGCACGTCCCTCTAAGAATAGGTCTTCCCAGAAGGATCAGAGGATCTTTTGGGAGTGATGACCTGGTGCCAGGGGGGAAGCACAGGTCTCATGCAGGGCTGCAGCGAGTCTAGAAAGTCAGAAACTGGAAGAACTAAAAATAACAGAAAACCATCCAGCTCCTATGGAAGAGCACTTTGAGGGCTTTGGGACAGGGAAGTGAGATTTGAGCCTGAACTGAGTCTCAGAAGATGGAATTCTCCAAGAGGCCAGGCCTGGGACCACCAGCTTCCCTGAAAGCCTAGGAAAGACAAACACTGCAATGGGAAAGGTTCAGAATCAGCCTCAGAGTCGTTTGCTAAGCACTGAATGGGAAATGCTATGAAAACACCCCAGGTGAATTATTAGCTCAGCCATGAGAACACAAAGGGGCACACTGGAAAAATACTCCAGAAAACCACAAGGTGGCAAGTGTGGGCACTGTGTGGCTCTGGATATTCCCAAAGCCCTGGAATCAGAAGGAAGATTGTCACCTGTGAGGGCTCCCTGAGCCCATTCCCTTGGAAGCTGTTCTGGGCTAGAACTCAGCTCACACATTCTGGGCACCATCCATTCCCAGAACATCACCCAGCCTTGTGCAAGGGCTCTCATTGCTCAGAACTACTCACATCGTATCCTGTGATTGAAATCTGATGCATGGAGTCATTGACTGACTTCAGCAAATCCAGCATCGCAACCAGAGCTTCTTGAAGTTCCTGAACTCCATCACAGCTCGTGCTGTACTTTAGCAGCTCCTGAAAATAGAAATAGGAGAGCACGTGTTTGCACTTGAACAAAGCAGATTTTTCCATCTTGCCTGAAGTTTCCAGTGCCCAGAAGTGACCTACACCAAGTTTCTTTTTTCATGTCACTGTAAAAGGGAAAAGGAAAAAAGGCTCCCTCTAAAGTACAGTCAGTATGAGGTGTGGAACAGGTCAAGGAGGGATGGCCTATTTTTAATGTGTTTCCTTAAGGTGGTGTCAGCATAGAGCAGCATCACATTCTTCTGATTCCTTTGTCTTGTGTTTTCCTGCCTGGTAAGATATGGCAAATAAGGCTGGGGTTTTTCATTAGCTGCCAATATGCCCTCAAATGAGCTTGCAGCAGATGACTGTCTTCAGACTGGCAGACACAAGGAACAGAATTTATAAAATCCAGAGCCTTCAAGTCAGTAAATGGAAGACAGAATTTTACCACCGAGATAAAATTAGTTTCATTTCAAATCTCCTGTTCCCGCCTACAGGTGCATGTGTACTCATTCATGAGGCTAGAAGGTACTACCCAAGTGTTATTCCTGCCTTCCAAAGTGAGAATAACAGCACTGCCCTGCCTCAGATAGGGGACACAAGAATAAATGCATTAAAGATTACAGGTGAGGAGAAGAAGAGATGCAACAATATATTTCATTCATCTGATTCCCATGATCAACTTCAGCTCGGTTTTCTTACAAATGGTTCTGTAATTTTGTATCTCTGAACAGATTCAAACAGTCTGTCCTTAAAAAATAGCCTGTTAAAAGCATTTGTTCCTTTTTCAGGTATGTGAACATTCATCTTCACTGAAATTCGCTTCAGGAGAGGCCAAGATAAGCAATATGTCATCCAAAGCTTGGTGCTGATTTACAGGTAACCTTTAATTGAAAAATAAAACCAATCTAATCTATCTGCTGATGCCCTTTGAAAGCAGAACATGAAATACCTTCAGAAGCAACTGGTATTTTGTCAGGCGCTGCACTGGTTTGAGCAGATAGGAATCCAGCCCCAGTTTGTGTTCTAATTTTCTTTGGCATTCCTGGAACACAGAATTCAGACCAAGTTTTGCACCATCTGTAAGTAGTTAGTTATTCCAACAGCACAGCTGTGGGGTTTGAGGACTTCAAAGATTTCATGTCAAAGTGTTGAATGGTACCTACAACTAAAGAAATGTTATAACAACCTGCAGAACAACACGAGTGGATCTCCACTCCGGGGATAACAGAACCTCCACCATCCCTTTTTGTGAGAATTTAGGGTGCTTTTTCACAGAACACCAACCAAAATGCAAGAGAACTGTGGCTTCTCAAGGAGGGGATCTAGGACAAGTCCCACAGTGGTGCCTGCCCAGGTAGAAGCAGCAGCTCACCTGGAAGAAGGCGCTCTCGGAGCACTGCCTCCACAGGGACTCGGAGCGGGGCTTGTTCTGGCAGTACTTCTCATACATCTGGAAATCCTCCCGCTGCAAGGCAAGCCGAGAGCCAAGTCACCCCCAGGGACCCAACCCTGCCGGGCAGCAAACGAGGCCAGTGCCAGACCATGTGTGCTTTCAGCTCTGCTGCCAGCTTTAATGCCCAGAAGTGAGCGAGTCTGGGTGAGGAAAGCACAGCTGGGGATCACAGCAGACCCCACAGCACCTGCTCTGCCCCATCTCTGCTGGCCACACATGGCCACTGCTGACCCTGAGGGTCAGGAGCCTCTCACTCAACCAACATCACCGAGGTGTTGCAGAGTGCCACACACTGGGAGAAACACTGGCCTTCAGTCTGCTTTCTACATGAAAATGATTCACCCACCCTGTCTAGGAAACAACATCCCACTCTCTCGGGTGCTCCCAGGCAGTTTTCCAAACTGTGCAGGAAAATTCTGCAAGAGATGGGAGAAGGGACAGAAAGGCAGCAGTGAGCAAGGTGAGGTTTGGGTACTCTAGCATTCCGAGGGATCAGTGTGATAAAAGGGGAACACAGCAGCACCATACTTGTTGTGGAAGTCATAGATCTCGGGCATGTTTCCAAAGAGCACGTCCTTCCTGTTCCTCAGCACGGGGGGCAGGAGCATGAGCATGGCAGGATTATCCATCTCAGCTCTGTAGCCCTGCCAGATGAAAAAGGGCTCATCACTCAGCTGCCATCTCCTCAAAGGCAGATGAAAAGGGGACACAAACACATTTTCAATATGATCCCTTTGTTTCCAAGTGCAACATCCCTTTTACTCCCTGTTTTTTGGTCTCTAAATCCCTGTCTTTCAGTCCCTGGGCACACGGGGCTGTGGTCCAGAAGGGAATGGTGTGGGACAGCTCCCGTGGGGCTGGCAGCACTGCAGAGATGCTCCCAATTCTCCAAAGGCAAATCAGCCTGGCTGCAGGAGAGGAGGCACAGGAGTGCTTGTGTGGCTCATGGCAGTGGCAGTGTGTGTGTGCAGTCCCACACAGCCTCACCAGAACCAGTGCCAGAGGTGAGCTACAAACCAGACACAGCTGGAGATCAAATCAAAAATCAATGGGCTTTTTGCCCTTGCACAAGGCATGCTGAGCACTAGGGTCTTGCTCAATGCTTCAGAATTCTGGATTCTGTGGCTCCACTTGCCCCTTGAAATCACTTCCAGGCTCCCAGACTGGGGAGGAGATGGAAGGGACAACACTGAAATACAAATTGTTGGGTGGAACTAGGGAAGAGTGTAACGCTCCCCAGAGTAATAGCCCATCAGTGCAGCAGGTATGGCAGATTTCCTAACTGCAGTGCAGGGAGGAGGCACTGCAGAGCTCAGCAGTGCAAAGAGCCCCCAGGAATGCCATCAGCCACAGCTCAGGCTGGCCCTGCTGCTCTCCAAGGACTGAGGCCCTTCTACATGAGCAGCAAATGTGTTCAGTATGTACAGCACATCTCCTCTGCCTTTCCAAACTAATCTCTCACACTCACTGTGCTTGGAATCAATATTCCTTGTATTAAGCAGGCATTCTGTAGTTGATTAAGGATGCAATAGATGATAAGTATCTGGACAATTAGTCATTTTTATTTAAGGCCAGCAAGCAGGCTTCCCTCTTTAAAGGAAATACTATTTCCAGAATACTGAAGTCTATCTGTCCATTTTTCTCTATCTAGACTCGATGTGCACAGCCATAAATCTGTGTACCTGCCAACTGCTTCATCACAGAGAGTGGTTTAACAAAAAACCCAATCAGTGCAGGGAAATTATGTGTAACTACCTGCAGTCCAACAGATTTATATCCTGCTTGCTCCTGGGTGAGAGAAATGTGACAGGGGGGAGCTATTTAACAGCCAACTTGTTTTGGCCATCAGCAAGAGTTATTTTGGAATAAAGTACTAATGTGTAAATGACAGTATGAGAAATCATTATCTGCTTTCTAAAGTAATGTGCTTCATACAGTCACGAACTTCATAGTATTGAGACAGAATTCTCCCAAGGATAAAACACAAGCTGTTTCCTTTTGTTTCCTAAAGGTAAAGGAAATTAGAGAACTGTAAAAAGAAACAGCTTTTTGTATATTTTACAGGCCCTGCTAAGGCTAATTACAAATGCTTTTGTGTACAAACAGAAGGATTCTCCTTTGTTGTCAATGAAAGGCTCATCCTGACACCAACTGCTCCTGCAGATGCCTCCAACAAAGAAAACCTAAAGAGCAAACTGGAGCATTTCTGACTAGATTGGGATCTGGCAGTCTGGTGGAAGGCTGCTCTGTCACGCCTTTGCTCAGTTTGACAGTGGCAGGTGCCCTTTTGTAGTCACCAGGGAACAGTAACAAGCAACCTGGAGAAGTCACTCACCGTCAAAACAGTGAAGAGTTCCTCCACATACACTCTCTCTGTTTCTATAAGCTCATTTATGACATGACTAAAATAAAAAAAAAAAAAGTGTATTATTTTCAGGTCAATAAAAAGCCCCACAGGTGATCAGTGCAGGCCAAGGAGCCCAAAACATGTGTGATACCATCAATAACCAAGAGGTAAAAGCACAAGAGACCACACCTGGGACAGGCTGGAGGAGCACAGGGATGGGGCAAGGACTGGCCAGAAACGAACAGCAGTTTAGGTCATGAAAATGGGGTGAGTGCTTACCCTTTCAGTATATCTAAGCTGTCATCACTGTCTGAAATAAAATACTGCAAGGAATTCCGCTTCTCCTGGTAGTCGTGCATGACTTCGATCTGGAAGAGAAAGGGGATGCACTGGGAAGAGCTGCAGGAAGGGCCCTGCAGGGGCAGGAGGAGCCCAGCCCCTGGTGCCAGCCAGGAAACTCTTTGGGGAAGGATGAAATGAGCTTCCCTATAAGAACCCTGGGGCAGCAAACCTTAACAGGAAAAAACACGGAATGGGTAGCCAAATTTTCCCAGAAATTACTCTGCTACACAAAATCTGAAAACACTGGCAACATAATTAACTAGTGAAGAGGCCAGAGAACAGTTTCCACAGGGGAAATATCTGAGGATGGGGATATTTCCTAATACACACCTCTGTTATGTAAGAAATAAGCTCAGGGAATAACACATAGGAAATTAGTATCTGGATATTGGAAAATCAATCAAGATAGAGCTCAGGTGTTGGATTAATGCAACTAAACCACATGGATATAAGAGGGTTTGGGTTTGCTTGATTTTTTTAAGAGGAAAAGGAAAATAAAGAGACCATCTCCAAATCCAAATGTTAAAGCAGTTTCAGTTTTTCTGTGTATAAAACTGATTCAGATTTCATGAATAATTTTTACCTTGCGAGAACTTGGAGTTTTTCTTGAAGTTTTCTTCCCAGGGAGAGAGAGATCAAATGAAAATTTCAAACTGGAATTAAAATCTACACCTTGGATAGAAAAAAAGCAGAGTTACATAATGTAGATCTAGAGTGAAGCAGATTCTTCAGACAGCAACTGATAAATCAGGAAGAAAAATGGGATACACTTTAAGAATAAATAATTAGTTAGCTCGTACTAATAGCAGCTGACAAAATAAAGAGTGTTTATCCCAAACAATACTGATTCCACACAGCACATCAGATGGTCATAAAGGCCATAAAGTACAAGTATTTAGAAAAAACAAAATGCCCACTAAGGGAACACAGTAACCAAAACCTAACAAAGTCTCTGAAGCCTGAGCATATGATAACAGCAAAACCAATAAAAGCAAATAAACTACAAAAAAGAACATGCCCTACTAGGACACTGTTTTAAGGTCCTTTTATGAACGTAGGGCAAGATGCTCAGCTGCAATAAACTGTTTCTCCATCTTGCACAAATTTATTGATATTGTCAGTAAATAATTACAAGCTGTAATTGAACTACAGAAGTAACCTGGAAGCTCAAAAATAAAGCATCAATCTCTCCAATGAGTTGTATGACATCACTGAAATACTCTGTAAGAAGAATGTGGACATGCTGGAGAGAGTCCAGGGGAGGCCATGGGGATGCTCTGAGGGCGAACTGGTGTGGAGAGCACAACTGCAGCTGGGGCAGCTGTGAGAGCTGCAGTGACCACGGCCTGGCTGCTGCAGTGACCACGGCCCGGCTGCTGCAGTGACCACGGCCCGGCTGCTGCAGTGACCACGGCCCGGCTGCTCCGGTGACCACGGCCCAGTGGCCGCTGAGGGTCACCACGGCCCAGTGGCCGCTGAGGGTCACCACGGCCCAGTGGCCGCTGAGGGTCACCACGGCCCAGTGGCCGCTGAGGGTCACCAGGGCCAGGCCTTGCAGGTGTAATCAGAGAGCTCTGGATGCTGCAGACAGACCAGAGGTGTGCGTGGGCTGGGCCCATCACACATGGGAAGACCCAAAAGAGATGAGGACTCACACCAGGGGTCCTGCTGAGGGGCTGGAGCTGGATGGGAGATGGGCACCAGCTTCTCCTGCAAGAGTGACTCTGCTCCAGCACCTGGGCTCTGCCACAGCCTGCAGTGCCACTTGTGCACATCTCACATCTGAGGGCTCAGGGTGGGAGAGATTAACTCTTTCCCTCCCTCCCCACCCCCAAAAAATGGTTTAAAAATTAGACCCACATTTCTCAGACAGGCTTCAAATCCAGGGCAAAGATAAAAGGAAGCATCTGTTCTCAGACAGAGACAGAAGGGGGGGAAAGGGGCATAGAAATATAAGAAAGGAAGGAATAGAGGACGAAAGTGATGTGCTCAGAGTTGGTTTGGTTTCAAGCCACACCATAAAACCCATCCATCTCAAAGCACTCCCAGCAGAGCTCAGCGTGTGCCTTTGACACTGCCCATCACGCCAGCAGGCCTGCAGCAGTTTGATGTTTGGTATCAAACAGACTTTATTAAAAAGCTCTCTTGTCATGATCTAGCCAAAGAGGAGCCTTTTGTCTTTCCCACACTTGATCATTACTTTCAGGCAGAGGATTAATGGAGGATGCCTGTGCTTTGCAGGTGACCGAGTGCCTCTGCTAGAAAAACCTGCATCCCATAAAGGCATGAAATAAGTCCAGCTGAGTGATGATGATCTCACAACATCCCACAGAGGTGGCCACCCATTTACCCTACTCTTTCAGTCAATAATTTGCCTTTAACCCTTTCCTCTTTCTAGGAAGCTGGAAAAGCTTTACTTTACGTTTTACCTTTACTGCCAGGTAAAACGGGCAGTGCTCTACTTTGAAGACTCAGAGCTTTTACTAATTGAGGAAAGGGCTTCAGAAGATAATGTACTTTAGAGAGGGTGGCATCAGCCTGGGAAGAGGAAATCTGGGATTTATTTGCTGCACTGGCCTGCATCTGGAGTAGTTTCATTTCCCTCATTGCATCCAGCTTCATTCCCACCCCTCCACTTGGCAATTTCCATTTCTCATTCCCTGAACTGAAGCTGCTTTTGCTGCTGTATGACACCTGCTACAACTTACCATAACAAATATTTGTGAATTCATCATAAAAGCCTTGTGTTAAAAAACAAATGTTTAATTGCTTTTATGTAGTCAGATCACTGAATTTAATATTCTGACATAATTTAGCAAGTCCCTGGTTGGAAATACATGGATGCTACTTTGGAATCTCTTTTAATTCTGTCTGGTACACTCAGGGCTGCCAAGGATGAAAGTTTTAATGTTAATCATTTAAAGCTAACACGGTGCCACATCCCATTACCAAAACTAAGGCAGAACATTCAGTGACCTCAGTTCAATGAGAATTTGTACCTTTATGGGCATTAATTATTCCACAACTGGGATTTAGGGAAGACACCCTGAAGGAATCAAAAGGAGCTAAGCATCCAGCTCATTTCTGTTCATGAGATTTGAGCTCCTCATTTCTCCAAGCTCCTTTGCAAACATCAGTCTAACTTTATGTCAGTTCTAGCTCAAGACAGCCACAGAGAATAGGCAAGCTAATAAATTTATAAGCCCTGCCCTTTTTTCCCTGTAGTATTAACTCACCAGATTCCAGCCCAACAGGATGCCAGTAAAGCAGAACTGGTGTGCACTACCTAGAGCTCCTTTTACTGAGTAGGAAGTGGAATGAATAACAAGCAACCACCTTCATCCTTCACACAGGTATGGGAACATTGACACAAACACTGGGAAGGTAATAAATCACCTGCTATGTATTTAACACTATCCAATAACTGTATCTGCCAGCAAGGCTAAGTTAGCTCCTCAAAACCTTCTTAAGCTTTACTCTTCCTGCCTCAAAGCAAAATTATCAGCTGAAAATACCATAAGCCCGCAGTATTTTACCGTGTTTAGGAGAAAATAAGGGTGACTTTGATCTCGGTGGATTTTCTGGCCGAGGAGCCACGAGCTGGACGGGCCGCACGTGTTTGTCCAGCAGCTTCTTGAAGCAGGACTGCCGGTTCTCAAACATGCTGCGAACGTTCTCCAGCTTCACCTGCACTGACTGGATCTGGCACTGCAGAGAGTGAAGGGAGAAACACATAATCACCGTGCATTTGCACTTTGGCCCAAAGCAGAGGACTGTAAAGGTGACAGCACCGCCACACGGTCCAACCCCGCTTTTCACCTGTGTGACAAGGAACTGGAGGCACTGCTTACCTTCAACTCAGATGTTAAGACTGACTCAAAATCGTAGTGTAGGGCTTGGGGATCATAGTTTAAGTAGGCTGAAGAGCTTTCAAGAAATCTTTCTATGTCCTGGAGTGCTTTCTGAGCGCCTTCCTTAGACTGGCACTTATCCATCTGCTGGTTGGCGAGCAGGTAGGCACCTTCATCACAGCACTGCAGAGCCTGGGGACAGCACAGCAGTGAGACCTCAGTGCTCCCTCCGCTGCAGCGAGGTTCTCATGAGGAACATCACTGATGGGCTCTGGATGCAGCTAAACAGCCCTCCCAAAGACCTCAGCACTCACTGTGGATTGATTAGAAAGCAAAAGGCCACATTTTTTCTGTAAGGTGACTGCAGTCCTGAACAGACCCAGGCAAGCTGTTCCTGCTTGTACCTGGCTGACATCAGTGGTGTACCTGCCATGGAAGCACCGGGCACAGCTGACCCCAGGGATGAGCAGATGCTCATTTCTCCACCTGGGAAAGCTGCAGTGGGCACTTTGGAGCTCACAGGGAGGCTGGCAGGTTTCCTGAGGCTCAGTGCAGACCTGAACTGGGGCTCATTGGCACTCACACACTGGTGTGCTCCAGGTTGAGAAGATGCTCCAGTCAAGAACAACAGAGCATCTCCAGTGCAGTGAGGGGAAGGGAGACATGGAGAGCAGGACCATGCTGTGCTCCAGCACAGCCCCAGGCTAGACCCTGGGCACCAACCAGGCCTGCAAGGAGCCCAGGGGAGGCCCCTGTCCTGCAGCTGAGAGGCTGCCAAGGAACCCTCTGTCCCCACAGATCAGCACAATGCTGAAGTGGAGCACACAGAGAGGAAAAACGAGCTCCCCAGTTCCCCAAAACAGGGAAATGGAACAGGGTCAAAATTCACCGTTTCTCTTAATTGGCCTCAAGCACATTACAGCCGTGTGCCTTCTGGCCTAATTAGCGTGAATTTCCCTAAATGAATATTTGATGCTGATTAAGTTATCAAAGAGCATTGGAACCACATGATTCCACTTCCATGCTAGAACACAGCAGCTGTGCCTATATACCAATCTGTCACCTTATTTTCCACTCAGCTATGTTCATTCTCAATAAATCTGAGAAGAAAGGGCTGGAGTTTATGTGAAAGCATTACCTCTGTCACACTGGCCATGAAAAACTCCAAAGTCAATTAATACATGGGTGCAGCATGAAAGCATGACTGAGAGCAGCAGGGGAACTTGGTGTTCTGTGGAGATGCCCAGCTCTTTCTGCTGCCCTCACAGGTACCTGTTTGCTGACTCCCCAGCTAAGGGAGGGGTGTGGCACTCCTCCAGCCTCCAGGATCATCTCCCTTCCATTGACTGCTGAAGAAAAGCTGCAAACTTCAGATGCTTCCAGCTAAGAAGAGGCTAACTCCATGGGGAAGCTAACCAACCATGTCCTCAGAGCACTGTATCTCTGAGCCCCACCTGCTGAAGGCGGGTGTGAAGGTCCAAGGTCTTCTGCAGGTGCATCTGCTTCCTTTTGATCTCATCAGCCAGGAGGTCGCAGTGGTGCCGCAGCTCGTTGCACTGCTGGCAGATCAGGTTGAGTGCGTAGTGATGGTTGGCTGCGAGCTGGTGGCCGTGCAGTATCACCACCTGAGCCTTCCCTATCAGATCCTGCAGGGAAAGGGAGAGAACACACGGCACTAATGCCCAGGTGTCTGCACGTACCCATCTCACTGACGGGGCTGCAGGCACTCGTGGGGATGACTGCCCTTAGGAGCAGCCAGCGTGGATGGCTCACCCAGGGTTAAAGCACCCAGCAGCTGGGAACAAAAACCTTTGCTATCACAAAGAGGATGGAGAAGAAAACAGTGTTTCACCAGAGTAGCGATGCTGTGAGCAGCTGCTGGCCATGCACCACTGCCCCTCCAGGAGCTGCACCCCGAATAAACCACAGCTGATGCCCAGCTTAGGCCCACTCTGCTCCCAAGCACCAAAGGGAACTGCAGTAGTTAAGGGGTATCTCGATGCCAAGAACACAAGATCTTTTCTGCACACCTCACTCAGTGTAAGGGCTCTGGTTTCTCCAGGGCTGCATTTCCACTGGGATGGCTTTCCAGCTGTAACCTGCCTGCCTGCCTTTTTCATCCTCCTCCCTCTTCCATAAACATTTCTTCCAAATGGCCAGCAAGCCTCAGACCTTTCTCTAGAACTCTTCTCTCCAGTGTCCAGATCCCTCAGGATTTCTCTGCTGACCCTGGCCCACGTACTCAGCACATCCCTTTGCAGAGGTCACATCCTAAGCTGGGCTCCTATGAATCATTTATCTTCACTCTTCTTTCCCCTACATCTCTTAGTCTTCACCCATATGTTATAGTCAAGTCAGAGACATGTCAGGATACAACTTTTTTTGCAACTCCATGTGCCTGGTAACAAGTTTCTGCCTATTAGCATAGCTAAAGCACTTAAAATATAAATAATTTTTCTTCCAGCTCATTAAATCCCACGCCTCCCCCACGTTCAGACATTTATCTGTTCCGGATTTTCATGGTGGCTCAGCAATTTATTTTAACTCTGATAATTAAATACCCTGTTTCTGGCTTTCAGGGTGATCACAGCATTGCTGCTCAGAGCAGAGACATGAAATCAATCCTTCTGTGCAGCACTTACCAATAAATTACACCAGGACCAGGTAATTTCAGCAAAGACCTCCTACCACAGGTACAGAATGTGGCTCTTGTTTCAGCAGCGCTTCTTCTGTGCAAGATTATCTCACCTGAGCCATGCCATCGAAATGATCCAAGTCCTTGAGCCTCTGTTTCACCTGGGGGATGCTGTCGCCAGTGTCGGGCAGCTCTGCTTGCTGACCCATTAAAAATTCAATGGCGTTCTTGACCTAGACACAAAGAAGAAGACTGCTGCAAAAGGATACAAAGCACAGGCAGGAAATCATTCTGAGCCCGAAATTAATCACACTTGAGCTAAGATTGCTAAATCAAATAATACAAGTAGTGTCCAAGAACTAATTTCTAAATTCAAAGATGCTTCCATCAGCAAAATCCACGTCACTGCAGGGCAGTGATACCTAAATTAGCTCTCAGTGGGAAAGCACAGCCATCTCCTCAACCTAGCTAGCCCTGCCACAGTCAAGGAACAGCAGCATAAATTAAACACTCTCAAAATAAAAAGCATTGAAACTTCTCTCCATCAGATCTCCAGCTCTCCCTTCTGCCAATGGAAGCACATCGGATCCTACCTCTTGAAAACTTTGCTCAAACTTCCAGAGTTGTAAATATTGCTCCATTTTTAACTGATGTTTTTCCCAGAAGCCATCAAAAGCAGTCTCCATCTCACGCAGCTGACCAAGCAACCTTGGGCACAGAAAAAGGACAGGACTGGAACAGTTTGCAAACAGAGGACAAGCAGAGATGGACAAGACCCAGACATCACTTACACAGGTCTTCTGGACCCAAGGTCTCAGAAGAAGTCAGACACGTACATATGACTTGAGATGATCTCAGAGAGAGATTTAATGAAACATCACTGCAGAGGACAGCATCTGTGTGAAGCAGTTGTTGCTGTCTCCGTTTAGCTGGGTAAAACCCGGGAGCCTGGCATGGGAGAGCCCTGCATCCGCTCCACAGCCTCATCGTAACAGAGGGGATAAAATCAGAGCAAGTCAAAATCATGAGAGAAGTCACCCAGCAATCTGATGGACTGGAGCAAAATTCTGGTATCTTTGTCTTTAACAGGTGACTTAACACATCCACACCTAAATAACTGGAGTGTTTCCATTGGAAAATCAGGGAATTAGGAGCAGGGTGCACTCACCGATTGACAGTCTCCCAGTCCCCAGGCCTCTCTTGCTGCTGGTCCTGACTGCATTCCCCGGAGTCAGGCTCTTCAAAACTGCTCAAAAGCAAGTTTCCCTCTTTGGTGACTGCTGTAATATCTTCCTGTGTAACACAAAACATTTCTCATTCAGGCTACTTATTGTGAGGTAAGGATAAGTCATTTTGTGCTTCTCCTGCCTTCGTTTCCCTGTGTGAAACGAAGCACCAATACCCAACAGACCAAAGGATTCCAGCAGATGTTTTAGTCCTCTTAACATGGACTTAGAGCTGCACAAGCCAAGCCATGGACCCATCACCAGGCTGGGTGGAAACTGGCACACATGAATACATCAGGCCACAAAATGATGCAGGAGGCCAGCACTGCCCCAGCTCTCCCCTGATGGGCAGGTGGTGGTGGTGTCAGACATTTCCCACAAGTTCATGTCTTCAAGCAAGATCTTCCACAGCTTGAGGGGTGCTTCTCCATCAAGGTCAGGAGAGGAGGTTGTAAGAGGAGCATCCCATGGGGGAACAAAGCCAGGACTGAGCCCACATAGCACCACTCACCACAACCTCAACTGATAAAGTCAACACTCCCAACACAACCTCTGCCTGGGGAAAATTTAAACCCTTGGTGCTGGCATTAGCATCAGCTGAGGTGCTTTGTGCAGGCTGGGCTCAGCCCCCAAGCAAACATGTGCATTGAGTCAACTATCTTGAGAAAAAAGAGGCCAAACAGAAGTGAGGAGGGAGAAAACACACGTAGCTGATGAACTGAGATGGAAGAGGCCCTGAAGGAGTGACCTGTGCATGGTTCCACTGGAGAGCTGCATCACTGGAGGAGTAAGAGCCCATCCTAGGAGAGGGCCAGGTTTCTATTGCAGGAGAAACAATGGCAAAATCTCTTCAGGGAGAAGATTCAGAAAGCCCAGACTTGCTTAAATGTCTGCCTGCCCCAGACAGCTCACAGCAAATGTAAACCCAGCTTCAGGGCAGCAGGACACAGCTGCAGGAAATTCCCCTCTGCCACACACAGTGTCCACTGCCAGTCTGCATCCCTGTCACTAAAACACCCTGGAAGATGACTACAAGGCAAAAAACCTGTCTCCTTTTGGTACTGCCACAGGCACGAGACCCAGAGGAGAAGAGGAATGATGCAGCATGTTTAAGACTGCAGGTGGCTGTTATTTCATCCCTTACACCTCACTCTCCAGAGACCCATGCTCCTTTTGATTCAAAGCCATTCATTATCCATAAAGCAAAGTGGCCCAACTGTCAAACAGGTGCTAACTTGACTTCTTCTGTTCAGCATATCAATGGGGTTCATTTATTAGTTACTCTGTTTAATTAATTTCTCTCATTTTTTCATTGTGCTTGCTGCCAGTTTCTGTTCAGCATCACAGCTCCATAAATTATTCTGATTGACTAATTATTTGGATTTAGGGATCAACTGTACCAGTCTTGGGGGTGTGTGAGAGAGACAAGGATCCCATGTCTTGCTGTCACCACAATCTGTGCAGTTCCTCATCTGCTTTTGTGTTTCGTGGTCTTAGAAGGAACAAAAGAAAAAAGCCAACAGACCTCATTTCAGACAAAAGCCAAGGAGTGGTTTTGATATTTGAAATTAATAGATGAGGAATTAAAAGCAACAGATGGCTTGTACTGAGCGCTGCTGTGCTTTCTACGCAAATGAAAACTCGTCACGTGTTTTATTTCTCCGCAGAGAAAAGTGGGCTCTGCTGACTGGTTTATACACAGACCTACACTGTGGAGCTGGTATTTGCCCCCTACACTGTGGCCACAGCCCTGAGCACGAAGCTGAAGTCACTGAGCACCTTGCAATAGGTGCAGCTGCTATTTTATATTACTCCTTCGTTTTCAAAGAAGAGATGGAGGCCCATTGACAGTATTGTAGTGGTGCTTTCTAAACATGCACACATGTATTTATGCCTACACACAGCACAACTCGGATGACATTTTCAGTATTTCTTAGAGGCAGCTTTCTGGGAACTCGCTGTCACATGAATGACACATGATTATAAATTAAAATAGATACAATTCTTTGACTTAGGTAAATGAAAGCTGTCAAAGCAAAGGAGCTCCTTCTCCAGCCACACAGAACAACTATTAACACAGTGACTGCTTCTGAAGGAAGGGTTTGGGGCCAGGCCTGTGCTGCTCCCTGAAAGATGCAGGAGCACAGAAGAGAACAGGCTGATAAAGCAGCAGCTGGCTGCACTAAACCTTCCACTGACTCCTATAATAATATTAATCACAATCACAAACAGTTGAAAAAAAAGTTTGAAATATTCAAGAAACAAATGTTGTTTAGGACAAAAGCTGAAGGCTCTCACGAAGACAGGGACCGCATGGTGGATGCTCAGTATCCTGTGCTCGCACTGAAATCTTCACCTTGGATGCTCTCCAGCACATTTCCCTTAAGTGAAGATCCAGCAGGCAGAGGGACCCGGGGACAAAGCACCCCTCCAGACCAGCCAAGGGGGTGAGGCAGAGGGGGTCCTGCACGGCCCCCACAGCCAGCCGTGCCAAGCCCAGGAGCCAGCTCCCGACAGCATCAGCCACGCAGTGACTGTGCCATCATCAGTGCCTGCACCATCATCAGTGCCTGTACCATCATCATTGCCTGTACCATCATCATTGCCTGTGCCATCATCAGTGCCTGTACCATCATCAGTGCCTGTACCATCATCAGTGCCCTGTGCCATCATCAGTGCCTGTACCATCATCATTGCCAGCACCATCATCATTTCCTGCACCATCATCAGTGCCTGTGCCATCATCAGTGCCTGCACCATCATCAGTGTCCTGCACCGTCATCAGTGCCTGTACCATCATCATTGCCTGTACCATCATCAGTGCCCTGTACCATCATCAGTGCCCTGTACTATCATCAGTGCCTGTACCATCAGCAGCGCCTGTACCATCAGCAGTGCCCTGTACTATCATCAGTGCCTGTACCATCATCAGTGCCTGTACCATCAGTGCCTGTGCCATCAGCAGTGCCTGTACCATCAGCAGTGCCTGTACCATCATCAGTGCCTGTACCATCATCAGTGCCTGTACCATCAGTGCCTGTACCATCATCAGTGCCTGTACCATCAGCAGTGCCTGTACCATCAGCAGTGCCTGTACCATCAGCAGTGCCTGTACCATCAGCAGTGCCTGTGCCATCATCAGTGCCCTGCCTCGTCTGACAGCAGCACACGGGCACAGCAGGCGGCCAGGGACGGGCAAGGAGTGAGAGGAGCGAGAGGAGTGGGCACTGAGAGGACACTGAGTGGGCACCGAGGGAGACCCAAGTGGGCACTGAGCAGGCAAGAAGCAGACACCAAGTGGACACCGAGCGGGCAGGAGCAGACACCGAGCGGGCAGGAGCAGACACCGAGCGGGCAGGAGCAGACACCGAGCGGGCAGGAGCAGACACCGAGCGGGCAGGAGCAGACACCGAGCGGGCAGGAGCAGACACCGAGCGGGCAGTCCCCAGACGCAGGCAGAGCCGTGCCAGGCCGTACCTTGAGCTGGCAGTACCTCTCGGTGCGCAGGGCCAGCATGCGCTCGATGGAGTACATGTCCTCCGGCAGCTCCGTCTCTGCCAGCTCCGTGCCAAAGCACTGCAACATCTGGGCAATTTCCTTCACCGTCAGCGCAAAACTCTCGATGGCCTGCGGGGACACGGGGACACGGTCAGCTTGGCAATCACCGCGCTCCTACAGCTCACTAGGAGCTTTGGCTGCAGAGACAGGGGAGCCCAGCAGCCTGAGCTGACAGAGCCCAGATGTCCCCGGCAGACAGACAGAACATCCCACTGGGAATATGACTGTTCATCTGGGAGAAACATCCCAGGGAAAACTGAGAGTGCACAGGAGGCGTAAAAACATACAGCGAGACACAGCTCCTGGTTCCTGGCAATACAAAAGGAAAGTTCTTGCAAAGGGAAACAAACAAACCCAAAAGGAAATCTTGTGAATTCTCTGCATTGGGTCAGTATGCAGTAGGCAGTCTCATTATCCTGCTTCCCAAACACACTTCTGATATTAATCACATTAAGCGACCATTATGAACAAAGAGTCCTATTTGGTATCTCCCATTAAGGGAATTTTAATAGAGATTTATGAAGACAGATCTTTTGGGAGCCTGAGGGAGTCAATCATCCAGCTCCCCTGCAAACCCATCAAACACCCCTTGGCTCCTTTGCACATCTGGCCTAGGAGGTGCAGTGCCTTTGGGGGTTACTTTCAGCCCCTCAGTGCAGAAAACCCTGCTGAGGGAGTCCTGGCTGGCAGAGGGCTCGTGGCACTCACCGTCCTGAAGATGACCCACTCGCTGTGGCAGTACTCCAGGGTGCCCCCGAGCTCCGGGGTCAGCTGCTGCTCATCGATGTAGGTCAGCAGGTCACTCACCGAGCTCAGCATCACCACCTGCACACACACAGGGCACTGCTGGCATCACCCCTGCCCAGCATCACCACCTGCACACACACAGGGCACTGCTGGCATCACCCCTGCCCAGCATCACCACCTGCACACACACAGGGCACTGCTGGCATCACCCCTGCCCAGCATCACCACCTGCACACACACAGGGCACTGCTGGCATCACCCCTGCCCAGCCTCACCACCTGCACACACACACTGCTGGCATCACCCCTGCCCAGCACACTGATCCTTCACGGGCCTCAAACCTGAGTCTGCTCTACATCTTGTTCTGGAGCAGGGCTTCCTGCTTACACCTATGGCTTAACACAGCTTTTATTCTGTGGATCTGACCATTGCTGTAAGCCACCCCTCATCTCCAAGTGCTTTCTTTCCCAAGTGCAAAGCACAGTGAGATGCTGCAGAGCAGGGCTGGAAACAAAGTGATGCAGGTTTAAGCAAGGCATGACCAGTAAACTGGAAAGAACACATACATTTTAATAAGTTATAAGCACGGACCAATTTCACATAAATAAGTACTCATGATTTTTTTGTGTGTCTTGTTCTGCCATGGGATATGTCAGGAATGTTTGATATTGTGCGGAGAACAGGCATTTTAGAGTGAAAAATGTTACGTTTGTGAAAATCATGCTATTTCCTGAAGGAAAGCATTCATTTGTTTTCAGTGTTACAGCATCAACCTTAGATTCTATAAATGTATTTCGCATAATTATTCTCATTATGTCCTATAATCAAGGTGGTTTAAAAGTCTGGAAATCTTGAGTGGAGACTATAAGCTCATTTCAGTTGCTATTTTAGGAACAAATACCAGCATGATGTTGGTATGGAGTCTACACTTAGATGGATATGGGTAAAATTCATAGCTAAAGCTCCACTAGACACGTCTTTTGACTTTTCAGACATTAAACAAATTCCTGGCTACACTTCACACAGAATGTTTTGGGTTGGAAGGGACCTTAAAGATCATGAAGTTTCCAGCCCTGCTCCTATGGGCAGGGACACCTTCCACTGTCCCAGGTGCTCCAGCCCCAATGTCCAGCCTGGCCTGAACACTTCCAGGGATCCAGGGGCAGCCACAGCTGACCCTAATGCCAGCGCCTCTCACCCTCCCAGGGAGGAATTTCTTCCTAATATCTGATCTATGTCTACCCAGTGGGAGCCATTCCCTGTGTCCTGTCCCTCCATCCCTTGTCCCATGTCCCTCCCCAGCTCTCTCAGAGCCCCTTTATACCCTGGAAGGGCTCTGAGGTCTCTCCTCTCCAGGCTGAGCAGCCCCTCTCTCCCAGCCTGGCTCCAGGGCAGAGGGGCTGAGCTCTCAGCCTCTCTGGACGTGCTCCAGTGGATCCACGTCCTTGTCCTGGGGCACCAGCAGAGTGGGGCAGTGTCAGCCCGGCCCCACGAGCCCTGCCCACACAACAGCTCTGCACACCCAGCTCTGTACCGGTAACTTGAGCAGGAAATCCTCCTGACTGAACCGAAATCCAATGTCAGTGAAGGTGCGCTGGAAAAAGCCGGTGGGACGGAGAACCATCACCAAGTGCAGGTTCCCTGGGAAGGACGCCTGCAAGGAAACACAGAGGACATTCACCCTGGGCAGCTCCAACAACAGCTTTCAATGCACTGAAATGAGGGGGAATCATTCAATTGTAGGAGTTGTTTTTTTTCTCATTGCTGCTGATTGCCTTTTCTTCTTTTTAAAACACGAGGGAGATGCTGGGAGTGGCTCGGGGCTATGGGACAGAACTGCAGCAGGGTTGTCCAGCCCCACTCCCCTTCAGAGCAGGCAGGAGCTCAGCCCTGCCCTCAGAGGCACACTTCCTATAAACTTCAATAATACAGATACTGTTCATCATTAGAACTTGGGGAGTGAAATTATGACTTAGCAGGGAACAGAGGGCTGGAACATTGAGAGGAATGACAGATTGAGGAAGCAAAATTTATTGCCAAACTTGCTAATCATCCCATAACTGCATCAAGCACACTCATCTTGTCCTTGGTAATTACCAGGCAACATTTAATTTGTGGCAAGAATTTGGAATTTCCTGTCTACACTGCTGGAGCCTTTTCTTGAGCATATGGTTGGCAGGTGCATTTTTAAATAGATCTGTGAAAAGGGTTCTTGAGAATGAAAAAGAATTTTCAAGAAAGTAGGAGTTGCGTCATTAAATTATGGATAAGCACATGATACAAAGATTTGAGTTAATTAAGACATGGTTTAATCTGAGATCCTGCCAGGCCAGGTTACATTTCTCTCCTCCTTATATTAACCTCCTCCACCATGAAACATGATAAAATAACCTCTGTACCAAGGGTGAGAATAATGAACACGTTCAGGTACTCTGCACTGCAGGGCACTTCATCTGTGCCTTCAGAACAAAGATCACTCCCACAAACATTCATTAGTGTTGTTTAAAACAGGCCTGGTTCACACTTGAGAGAGATCTGGCATCCATGAACTGCACTGTCACTCATTTGCTCGGTTTTTGGGGGTAGGAAGGAGCAGTTGTGGCTTCCACTGCCCACAACTTCCCTTAGAAATGGACAGCGACTTTTAGGATCATATAAGCCACATAAATCCAATATATTGATCTGCTGTTATTTTAAGTATGAGCAGAAAAAAAAATAAAAAGATTGTGAATGAAATGACAAACTCATACCCCTTGGAAGTCAACAAGAGTGGTGCCAGGGACAAAGACTTGGTGTTGGAAACAACAGCAAACCATTAAATAACAGAGACATTGGTGCTGCCTCCTGCTCCACACCTGGGCACCACATAATGCCTCCTCTGTGAGCTTTGTGCTCCCACCTTGAGCCTCTCCTGAAAAATGCATCAGGAACAGCTTTGAGAACAACCAGCCAGAAATTCACCCTCCCTTGGTCTGACATCATTCCCCTTCAGCCCTGCTTGGCACTGGGAGCTTTGGCCTCTCTTACTCCTTCAAGTCCTTTTTAACTGGCACCCTTTGGGCACAGAGCAAACTCCCTGGAGGAGCTCTGGGTCTCCAAACACAATTCCCTCTTGCTCCTTGATGTTTCACCTCAAAGCAGCTGAGTTTCCAGGACACATGATTTACCATTCAGCTTAGAAAGCATTTGGGGGTTTTTCAGCTGATCTTATACATGTAGGATCAAGGTCAGTACTTCTGAGTAGCTACAAAACAAGAAACACAGCTTTGCAAATGATACCTAATTGTATTCCAAGCATGGCAAAAAAGGAACAAGACAAGAAATAAGTTTGTAGAAAGACAGACACCAACAAGCCATGTCCTGTGCCCTATTATAGAATTAAGGGAAAGGATGAAATGTTAGGAAAAAACCTACATAGACCAGGAATTCCTCAACAGTATTGCTGTAGGGATTGTATCTTTTTTTGTCATTGTAACAATTTTCATTTTTCTCAGGGCTGAAGTGTAGAAAAGTTTCCTGAAAACTGAACCCTAATGAAGATACTGCTCAAAAAAACCCTTTCCCACCATATATTAAAGAAAGCAAAGACAGAAAAGATCCTTAATCTTGCCTTATGCTTTATCTTATAATTTCTAAGACTAAAAAGAATCCTGTGCACTTGATAAAGCTGGGGTTATGTAACAGAACACCTAAAGAACCCTCTAAAGCCTTTGCCCTCTGCAGCACCCCAGCAAAGGCAGAAAGCTACCAGCACAATTCCACTAAATCAGGAACATCTCACTACTGTTAACTCTCTCACTGACCACAGCCCACACTCACAACATCCCTCCCAAGGACTCAGACACCAATTCCTTAAGGCCAGTTCAGCAACTTTCTAAATGCACATTTAACTATAACCACACAGAGATCCCTGATTGAATCAATACAGAGGAACTGGGCTAATAAAGCACAAGAAAGAACATGCACTGAAAGCATCACAGTTACTGCCTCATTACTGAATATCTCAATCTGACACATTTAGCACTTTTTTACCATTTCCCCCTGTTTTAGGAACTCAGTTTTCAGAGAGACTATTCTTCCCTGCAGTTCACTGGGGCATCCATGAGGTTGGTAATTAATAAACGTTAATAAAAAGTAGTAAATGTCAGTAAGTTTCTTTCTGAGCATTGCAGTCTCAGGCCGGGAGTCCTTAAACAGGTGCTGAACTTAATGACTTTCTGCTGCCCCTTAAAGGAAAAGTCATGCACAGAATGCCAGGCACTGCTCATGTGAGCTTTTGCTTCCCCCAGAGCCGGAATGAACCTCCCAACGCTCTGCAAGCTGTGCCTCTGCCGGCTGCACGGATAACCCCAGAGATGCTGCCAGCACCGCTGGGGCACAGATCAGCCCAGGCCCCTCTGCCAGCGGCTTTCCCTCCCTGCAGGAGCAGCAGGAGAGCCGGGAGCAGCACTGCGGGAACCGGGGAGCCTGGTGGCAGAGGGACACCAGGGACATCAGGGACACCTGGGACACCCAGAGACACCAGGGACACCCAGGGACACCTGGGACACCCAGGGACACCTGGGACACCCAGAGACACCAGGGACACCCAGGGACACCTGGGACACCCAGAGACATCCAGGGACACCCAGGGACACCCAGGGACACCCAGAGACATCCAGGGACATCCAGAGACACCCAGAGACATCCAGGGACACCCAGGGACACCCAGGGACACCCAGGGACACCCAGGGACATCCAGAAGTACCCTGCAATACCCAGCAGTACCAGCGGTACCAGTGATACCCAGTGATACCCAGTGATACCCAGCAGTACCAGCGGTACCAGTGATACCCAGTGATACCCAGTGATACCCAGCAGTACCAGCGGTACCAGTGATACCCAGTGATACCCAGTGATACCCAGCAGTACCAGCGGTACCAGTGATACCCAGTGATACCCAGTGATACCCAGCAGTACCAGCGGTACCAGTGATACCCAGTGATACCCAGTGATACCCAGCAGTACCAGCGGTACCAGTGATACCCAGTGATACCCAGTGATCCCCAGCGGTACCAGCGGTACCAGTGATACCCAGCGCTACCAGCGGTACCCAGCGCCGGCCGCTCCCGCTCGGAGGATGCCGCTGATATTCCCCAGCGCCGCGGTACATCCAGCGCTGCGGGCACCACTCCCGCCGGCCCTGCCCTCCCCCGGGCCGGAGCGGTGCCGGCGGCCCCAGCCCTCCCCCGGGCCGCAGCCCGGCGGGCCCGGAGCCTTACCGCACCCCGGGCGGGCCGCCCGCCCCGCCGCGGGCCCGCCTCCGCCATCGGCCCGCGCCGCCGGGGCCGCGG